ACGAGGGGATAGTTTGTCCGCAGACAGGTCGCGGACAAACGCCCGAGATCCCCAGACCCGGAACGCCGACGCATCGCCAACCTTCCCCGTCCACAGCAAGGCTGGGGAGGTCTCCGGCCTGGAGACCCTGGGGTGGAGGTTGATCTGATGCGCCGCGTACCTCACCGCAAACGGCCACAGAAAATGGGGGGCAGCCGCATGCATCATAGACGTACGAGCGACGTCCATGACCATGCCAATGCGGCGCTCAGCAATCCCATTTTGCTGCGGTGAGTCCGGAAGCGTGAAGGTCTGACGGATGCCCCATGCACGACAGTAGGCACGCAGAAGGCCAGAGGAGAACTCTCCGCCTCTGTCCGAGTGCAGACGCAGAACAGGAAAGTCCGAGCCGAAGCTCTGCCTGAGCTGGAGACGAGCTGCGCGGATCCAGTCGATCAGCACCTCAGTGACATCACCCTTGCTGCGCAAGGGGAAGACTGTGGTGTAACGCGAGTAGTCGTCAACAACGAGCAGGAAGTAGCGCTCGTGACCCTGTCCACGGACGCGGGCTGGGCCCCACACGTCCATGTGAAGTGTCTGCAACGGGGCCTCTGTCGAAGGAAACTGGGAGGAGTGAGGGGCAGCACGCTGGCGCCCCTCGACACAGGGGACACAGGCAGGGCCAGGGCCCTGAGGAAGGGGAGGGAGGGACCGGGGGAGACCGGACACAAGAAGACGGGAGGCCATACCTCTGAGCCGAAGCAGAGAGGGGTGGCCAAGGCGGTGGTGCCAGAGGAGAGTCTCGTGAGACAGGAGACGACACGAACAGGGGGCAGACTCAGGACCAGACCTGGACGCCGCAGCAAACACCTGACCCGACGTAACTACCCTACCAGACTCAGCAACTGGAGGAGACGCAGTGGTCAGAGTGTACAGGCTCGACCCCGGCTGACGGGTGAACGTAGCCAGGTGTCGGCCTGTGCCAGCCTCTGTACAGTGGGTCACTCGCTGACGTGCAGGAGTGAACTGGTGGACACCCGCATCCTGTAGGTCAGCACCACTCACCAGGTTCGTCGAGAACGAGGGGAGGTAGAGACCAGACAGGGTGCCAGAGGGAGCCGCCGGACACGGGAGGACTGTGGAGAAACGAGACAGGACCGGACCCCCAGAGGGGTCAGCCAGAGACACCGCAACCGGCCGACTAAGCGGCGTGAGTGTGGTGCGGTCCCGAAAGAAGGAGCGAGACGCCCCAGAGTCAAGAGTGAAGGTGAGGGAGGCCGAAGCCGACGCGGTACCTGAGAGAGCAGACTCACCAGTACCTGAGGACGCAGACACACCAGCACCTAGAGCAGCAGCGTCGTAAGCACCTAGGGCAGCAGCCTCACCAGTACCTAGAGCAGCAGTCTCAATGCCCGGATCGGGCTGGAAACACCGGTAACAGTCACCCTCATCACTAATAGACACAGCATACATGGCAGAGAGAATAGCATCAAAGTCCAGATCAAAGATGGCAACCCCCGCCCTAGACAGCTCGTCCCAGCGAGGGATCTCGGAGGCCTCCGGGAACTGGTGACGCCATGCGTCCGTCAGGCGGCCAAAGCAGCGCGGAGTGGGGTGCGCACCCCCACGCTGCTCACCCGCACGGTCGCCGGTGCGCAGGACGTAGGTACACGGACCAAAACCCCCACCCCGCTGGCGTGCAGTGTACCACTCACGGAGCTGCTGAGGGGACAGGGTCGCACGACCACGCTGCTGCTGCTGGCGCGAGCCACCACCGGAGCCACTCCTCTGCAAAGACCCGCGACCAGCTCCACCGCCACCCCCACCGCCTCCACCGCCTCCGCTGCCTCCACCGCCGCCGCCGCCTCCACCGCCTCCTCCACCGCCGCCTCCTCCGCCACCTCCGCTGCCACCGCCACCGCCGCCGCGGCCTCCGCCTCCACTGCCGCCACCGAACCCCCCACCCCCACCTCCACCTCCACCGCTACCCCCACTCCCCCCACTGCCTCCACCTCCACCTCCACCGCCCGCTCCTCCAGCTCCCTTGCCCCCCTTGCCCTTGCCAGGGCGGCGTCTCCCGCTAGGGGCAGACGCCGCACCGACCGACTCAAGACCAAGGAGGTCGGCCGAAGCAGCAGAGGCAACAGAGGGCAGCAGGGGGGAGGGAGAACACCCCTCAAAGATGGGGGTGCGCGGGTCACCTCGAGAGGCTCCTACAGCGACTATGCTCTTTTCTATCGCGAGGAGGGCCTTCTCGAGGAGGTCTACAGTGAGTGTGGTGGGACAGACTGAGAGAAAGTGGTCCCTGACTACTCGAAGGGAGTCAGGGAGGCGAGTGACTAGGAAGTACAGAGTGATGTACATGGGGGGGGGGTTCGCGGTGCAGAAGTCAGCAGGAAGTGCAGCGCGGTAGCGAGTGTCACTAGTGCGGAGGTGCGTAATGAGGTCAGCAACGGTGGGAAAAGAAGCAAGGTCAGGGAAGAGGTACGGCAGCATGAGACGGCTCAGTGCAGCAGTGGAAGGGGAGGAGTAGCGCGCGACTACAGCGGCGTACAAGGTCTGAGCACTCTTGTACTGACTAAAGTGCGCACGCTCGGAGGTAGGGAGGTGGCGACGCACAGCAAGACGTGCAGCAGCATCGCGCGTGGCCCACTGGGAGCGAACAGTGGCGTCAGCATCAGCAGCAGGGGCAGGGGAAGCGCCAGAGGTGAGGTCAAAGAGAGAGAGGCCGTCCGCCCTATCGCACTGTAAGAACAGCTGTAGGTCATCTACCCAGACCTCAAAGTCAATGGCCCGACCCTCAGCGTCAAAAGTGAGGACACTAGGGGTAGCCATGACAGCAGTAGACCAGCAGTGCAAGGAGTAGGGGAAGAGCACGCAGTGACAGAGGGTCTGTGCTCACCGGACAGGGCTGCTTGGGCGGCTCGGCTGCAGGGCGGCTCGGCCGCTGGGCGGCTCGGCGGCTGGGCGGCTCGGCGGCTGGGCGGCTCGGCAGCTGGGCGGCTCGGCGGCTGGGCGGTCGGCTGCACGGCGGCTCGGCTGGTGGGCGGCCGGGCGGCTCGGCTGCAGCGCGGCTCGGCGGCGGGGCGGCTCGGCTGCTCTGCTGCTGGGCGGCTCGGCTGCGCTGCTGTTGGGCGGCTCGGCTGGGCCGCTGACGTAGGGCGGCGGGGCCGCTGTAGAGGAGTGGCGGGGCCGCTGCAGAAGGACGGCGGGGCCGCTGGGTAGTGAGGCGGCGGGGCCGCGAAGACGGGCGGCGGGGCCGCTGCAGAGAAGCGGCGGGGCCGCAGTGAAGGGCGGCGGGGCCGCAACGAGAGAGGCGGCGGGGCCGCAGCGAGAGAAGCGGCGGGGCCGCGAAGTCGGGCGGCGGGGCCGCTGAGTAGGGCGGCGGGGCCGCAGTGAGAGGCGGCGGGGCCGCGAAGACGGGCGGCGGGGCCGCAACGAGAGAGGCGGCGGGGCCGCAGAAAAGGGCGGCGACGGGCCGTAGGCGGCGCGAAGCCGCAGGTAAGGGCGGCGACGGGCCGGGGCGGCTCGAAGCCGCAGGTAGAGGCGGCGCGAAGCCGCGGGAAGGGCGGCGATGGGCCTGGGCGGCGCGAAGCCGCAGGTAGGGGCGGCGCGAAGCCGCCGGTGAGGGCGGCGCAAAGCCGCGGGTAAGGGTGGCGACGGGCCGGGAAAAGGGCGGCGCGCCGCAGCCGCTAGGGCGGCTCGACGCGACCGTAAGGGCGGCGCGACGGGCCGCTAGGTGCGACTCGACGGGCCGCTAAAAAAAAAAAGGCAGGCGCGACTCGAGGCGCGCTTCGGTGGGCCCAAGGAACAGTCCCTAGGAGGGGACCTGCTCTGATTCCATGTGAGAATGAGAACGAGAATGAGTGAACTATGAAAATGAAGTGGGTACAAATATGAAACCCTAATTGGTTGTACCCCCTATGGGATACCCCACTATAGCCTACACAACAGCATAAGCTATAATGTTCTGACAGCAAGACCCTCGAGTTCCTGATACGCTGGAAGGGATACGACCCCACTGAGGACAGTTGGGTTGCAGAAGCTGATATGGGCAACGCACGCCGTGCTCTCAAGGACTATCTTGTCAAGCAGGGTGTATCTCACGCCACCCAGCTTTGAGGGGGGGACGTGTGAGAGTACGACGGCTTATGCCAGCTATGCTTGCTTGCCTTTACTTTATCATGCTATTTCTAGCATAGGATAATCATATGCATGCATGAATTGCTTGATTTCCTAGGCTAGGTGCTTTCCTATATTTTATTATAGTTATAGCACCGAGCTAGGTTACGTGCACCGAATCCTGGCCTTTTCGGTTGCCACCGAATTGCCTTCTACCGAATTCGGTAAGGATATGTTCGAGACGCTACGCGACCCGCGGAACCTTCGCGTAACACCTGGTTACGGGGCCTTGTGTCGAGCCTATATATAGCCTCGTGTTGTACCCAGGTGATCATTCAATTCGACTCAATTCTCATTCTCTTTTCTGAGCTCGATCCTAGATCCTCACATTTTGAGTCGACTCAAAAGTCGGCACATGGGCAGCAGCAGGGGGGGACAGCAGGGCGGGGTGCACGGGATCTGTTGGCGTTGATGTTGGCAGCACATGACGAGGCAGGCAACGAGCAGATGACGGACCAGCAGCTCATGGACGAGTGCATCACCTTCCTCCTCGCTGGTATGCTCGTATATGGGCTCTGTGTGTTGCGGGTAGACTTTATAAGTGTGCGTTGACTTGACTCGAACACAAACAGCAGATGACGGATCAGCAGCGCATGGACGAGTGCATCACCTTCCTCCTCGCTGGTATGCTCCTTTTGAATCGACTCAAAATGACGTATAAGTCGACTGGAAGTCATCGCGAGCAGATGACGGATCACGTGCATCACGGCCCTCGTGCTTTCAGTCGAGCTCATTGGAACGCACTTTCAACTCAGCGTAAATCACAGACAGAAGATGACAAACCCGAAGCTATGAATGCCTCTCGTTTCTTGAGACGTCCCAGAGACTGTCCCTTTACCATGAATGCGTCACGTTTTTCCTCGCTGGTACTGGCCCACCCCGCTATACTTTCTTCTCTCCCTTCATTTCCATTCCCCGCCCTTCCCAAGCCCACATTCAATCTTACCCCAATTTCCGTTCGTTTTCTTCCCTTCTCCTCTCCACTCAGCCCTTTGCTTCCCTGCTACTTTTCTTCTCCCCTCCCCCCTCCCCCCTCCCCCCTCCCCCCTCCCTCCTCCCCTCCTACAGCACTCGCATCTCAACCATCTTCTCACAGCACTCGCATCTCAACCATCTTCTCACATTACTCGCATCTCAACCATCTTCTCACAGCACTCGCATCTCAACCATCTTCTCACAGCACTCGCATCTCAACCATCTTCTCACAGCACTCGCATCTCAACCATCTTCTCACAGCACTCCCATCTCAACCATCTTCTCTGCATTGCTTCCCCTTCCCGTTTCACCAATGCCCATCTTCCTTCTGCCGCCCCCTCCCTTGTCGCCTCCCATCGTCCTCCCTCGTCGCCTCCCATCGTCCTCCCTCGTCGCCTCCCATCGTCCTCCCTCATCGCCTCCCATCGTCCTCCCTCGTCGCCTCCCATCGTCCTCCCTCGTCGCCTCCCATCGTCCTCCCTCGTCGCCTCCCATCGTCCTCCCTCGTCGCCTCCCATCGTCCTCCCTCGTCGCCTCCCATCGTCCTCCCTCGTCGCCTCCCATCGTCCTCCCTCGTCGCCTCCCATCTTCCTCTGTGCCCCTCTCACCCTTGCCCCCCAACGGCAGGCCACAGCACCACGGCGCACCTGCTGACATGGACGTTCTATCTTCTGGCGAAACATCCCGACTGGCAGGAGCGGCTGAGAGCAGAGCTCAAGCAAGCGCTGACTCAGCAGGGGGCACAGGCCACGTCAGCAGTCCCCACAGCCAGCACAGCAGCAGGAGCAGCGGACGAGGCAGGGTCAGAGGCAGATGGAGGAAAACATGAGGAGAGAAGCCATGGGGAGTCTGGAGGGGAGGGAGCGGGGGGTGGACAGGAGGGAGGAGAGCGAGGGGAAGGCGAGAGAGGAGGAGGGGGGCGAGGGGGAGTTGCGGGGCAAGGAGGAGGGGGGCGGGTGACATGGGAGGTGGTGGCAGTGCTGAGGGACATAGGCATGGTGCTGCAGGAGAGCTTGCGCATGTTCCCCCCCGTCCCCTTCCTGGGCAGAGGGTTCCGATTGGCACCGGGGTGTTTGTTTGTGGCAGGGGGGTTGAGATGGTCAAAAGGGGGCTAATTCTAGTTCTGTCATTCTGAAGCTCACAGCCTCATCGCCCACCCACTTGCACAGCCTGCCCTCCTCCTCAATCTCTTCCCCTCACCCGCTCCTCCGCACTTTCTCATGCTCGCTCTCTCCTCCTCACCCTCTCCTCCCCCCAGGCGTGCATTCTAGGTCCATATGACCTTCCGCGGGGAATGGACGTGCTGATACCAGTCGCTCTACTGCACTATGACCCACAAGGACATCAGTGCCCTGGAATGCTCACTCCTTCCTTCTCACCGCAACCCCCCCCCAACACCCCCCCCCTCACCTCCTTCCCCCCCTCCCCCAGGCGTGCAGGCTGGGGCCGTATGACGTGCGGCGGGGTGTGAACGTGCTGATACCAGTCGCCCTGCTGCACTATGACCCACGCTATTAGGGCCCTCAATCCCTCCACTTCAACCCCGACCGCTTCGCCAGTCAGTCCATTTCCGTGCCCTCATCTTTGCCCAATTCTTCGCCTTCATATTCTCCTCCTTTGCCGACTTACGATCGCTTCTGGGGCCCTCAAGCCCTCCACTTCAACCCGACCGCTTCGCCAGTCAGTCTCCTTCGTTGTCATGCCTTGTGTTCCTCGTTCCATTGGTCTTGTTGCCGCTTCTGTGTCTCCCCACTGCTTTCTTCACGATTCTCGTCTGCGTGCCTGTGCCGTTTTTCTCCTCTTGTTCCCCTTCCCTGTTCTTTCTCCTAACATTCTTCTTCCACAGAATGTCAATTCTTTGTGGTTGTATTCATTACCGGTATATCACGTTCCACTTTTGCCCATTGTGCCTCATGCCTTCCCCAAAACCCACCCATGCCAGAAGGTACAGATGAAGCATGTTCTCACCCTCAGGCATTCCTGCCCTTTGGTTCGGGCCCACGCATCTGCATCGGGAACAACTTTGCCCTCACGGAAGCAAAGGTGGTGCTGGCACACATCCTCAGGCAGTTCTCATGGCGCCTCTCCCCCACCTACAAGCACTCCCCCATCAGCGCTGTCACTCTGCGGGCGAGTTTCGGCATGCACCTCATGGTTGAGCCATTGGCAAACCCTTTCTGAGCTTCATGGCAGGCACAAACTGGTACTGGTACCACAACGTTACGAAGGGGTTGCTGACAACATATGTTGTTGACACCCAAGGAGCATCAGGGGGCACACAATGGATTGGTCATTACCAAGCCCCTAGATTCGTTTTGAGGTAGTCTGAGGCCTCAGAGTACACCGCTCTTTCTAGTCTGGCTGTCAGAGTGACCTGATTTTTTAAGTCTGAGATTTCAGACTACACTTGCATTTCTACACTGAACATACAGAGTCACAGTCAATTTTCCTGTTATAATGAAAACACTAAGTAACCTTCTTACATTTCTTCTTGATAGTCTAATACAGGTTCACGTTCTACTACTGCCTCGTCTACAGGCTCCTTCCCAGCCCACGAGGGCTCCTCTCTGTGCCTTGCAGCAGGTGCTGTGACCGGCCGGCGCTTCTTGTAGCTGCGCCATATCTCTACTACTCCTGGGACATCTAGCTCATAGTCTAGGAGTGAAATACAGAGCAGATCACTCAGCCTACAATCCTTAATGCTGCCCCTCTGCCACGTTTTGATGAGATTCTGTCGGGAGAAACCGCGCTCGCACTCGACCGTGCTGAGAGGCAGCACCGCAATCGCCACCCACAGTCCGACCAGGTTGGGGTACGCCTGCTGCCAGTCGGGTGTCCTGAGCATCGCACAAAGTTCCGTGTGGAACTTGCGCTCGCTCTTGGGGGCTCTGGCAAGGACCGGACACAGTGTGCGCAGCTCCCTCACGGCTTTCTTCTTGTCAATGCCTGCAAGGCAAAACGAGACACGGGTTTAGTAAACGAGCCATAGCCAAAGGGGGAAAGGGGCGGGGTGACACAAAACCATACCAGGTAGTATCTCGTCGGCTTCATCTGCGCGAAACAACGTGACAAGCGACATCAGCCACTCCAGGCACTGTGCCTGCCGTGCGTCCCGGTCCCAGTGAGGTTGCCACATCTCTGGAATAAACAGCCGCACTCCGGAAAGTGAGTCAAGGTCGCCGAGCTTGGACTGGAGCTGCTCGACAACGAGCTCGGCCATGTCGGTGCAGAGCGCAACGCAGGCGTGGTGATGACCAGGCCCACGATAGCTTGGGTTGGTGCGTTCGTGAAGCTTCACCTTGAAGCGGTTCATACTGCCGTCGGACGATGCTCCTTCCACCACCATTTCTGGTGTCCCTCCCGGACCGTGCTTCTCAATGAAGCGGTAGAGCCTCTCGGTCGGCCCCCCCCCGAAGTCGTCTCCACAGTCGACGTACCAAGCCTCCAGGATCGATGTGGTGCGCACAATCTGCGTGTGCACCAGCGCGTAGTCGAGCTGCATCACAAACATACAAAGAGAATTAGTACAATGGGTCTCGGACTTAAACCAATACAATCTACACCCTCAAATTCACTTACTTCTCGCTTCTGAAAAACTGAGGAGAGGACGTTGAGCTGCTCCAGCATGTCCGCGAGGAACCTGATGAGGAACTGGAACCTGTACGACGTGACGAGTTCGTACATGGTCTGGTCCTTCCACTCCGACAACATGACCATGATGGCAGGTAGGACTTGGACGAAGCGGGCAACTGCAGCTCCTCTGGACAGCCACCGCACGTCGTGTATGCCTTGAACCTCGAGGATGGTGGACGTGAACACCTCCTAGAGCTCCATGAAGCGCTGATGCCACGGCCCCGATCGCCCGAGGTACTCTGCGACGGCGCGGATCACGTCGTCGACCATGTTGAAGGTGGGTATCTTCTCCGCTGCGGCCTTGGCAGCCAAGGCCTCCCTGCCAAACAAAACCACACATGCACAGTTAGTTTTTCATAAACAAACAGATTTGCCGTTTACACATGGCGTTAAAACACAAACGCACCTGTGAGCGATGCAGTGAAACGAGACCAGGTTGGGGATGAGCAGTCGCAGACGAGCAACCACACCGTTTTGACTCCCCACCATCACAGAGGCGCCATCCGTGCTCACTCCCGAGATACGCCGGAGGTCAACGCCGACTGCCCTGAGGTGGGAAAGCAACAAACTGCACAAAGATGCAGCGTCAGCCCTATCAACCGTTAAATGCGCGACGAACTCAGTGACAACTCGGCCTTCGCGGAGAAACGTGGCAAACACAATCATGTGCTTGCCGCGCCGACGGTCGGTGCTCTCATCAAGCGTTATCCCGATGAAAGGGCTCGAGAGGAGGTGCTCCAGTTGCGTTGTCTGAAGCCATGTCGCAATGGCTTGAGTGAGCTCTCCAAAGCCATACCTACAGAAGGAAGACAAGGTCGTTAGTGACGGTCAGCAAGGATACAACGTTGTACACACGGGACACACATAAGAATTTACGTACGTGTTATAGTATGTGCCGTATCCCTGCTCGGGAAACCCGGGCACTTTCTTCTTCGCCAGGTAGTGCATGAGCCGGATCCACGAGTCCATGGGCTCGTTGCACTTCCCCATGAAGTACAGCGAGTCGACGAGCAACGACACCTGCAGCAGCTCCATGTCTTGCGCTTTCGGGTGCATGTCGATGCGCTGCTGCCGCCTGTACTTCTGCAGCAAGTCCTCCTGGCGCTGCAGAGCAAATCGGTGCTTCACCGTCCCTTCGTGCTTCTTGAAGGACTGTGTCTGCACGTCTGTAGCTCCCTCGGTACGCCGCCCACACTTGCCATTCAATCCCGCAAACTCCAGGCAAATACTGCACTTGAAAGAAGGGGCACCAGAAGAGGTCTTAGTTAGAACAAGCCAACTGTAATCGGTGGACCACTTCGATTTGAATCTCTCATGCGCTTCCTCCTATTTCAACTCAGGATTATCGGATTTGGGCTTTGAGCTGTCCTGCGTGGGCCTCGGGCTGCCCTGCGTGGGCATGGAGCTGTCCTGCATGGGAGAATCGTCGCTCGCAGGAGTCACAACGGTCGATGGAGGAGGCGGAGTGGCCCAACCAAGGGTGGACTGCCGGTACCGCAGCTTCGACGGTGGCGCGGGACGAGAAGGTGCACCAACAGACGCCTCATGGGGCACCGCCTGTTGCGCAGCGGTCGCTGGTTCAGTGACGGCCTCGTGCAGAGGTGTGGTGTCTGAAGGAATAGGTGGGCGGCTCGAGCTAGGTTGCGACGGTGGCGTTGGAGGTGGATTGTGCTTCGGTAGGACAGACCTAAGAAAATCTAGACCGGTGAGAGGGTCGGATACTGGGCCGGATACTGGGCGACCGACTGCATCATCCTCGTCGTCGGGCCCATCCGCGACAGCCTCTGTAGCTGCCATTGAGCCTGCCGAGCAGAGGTGTAGCGAGCTAGGAGGTGGGAGCCTGAAACAAGGGCTCCTACACTAGTTTGAGTCCAGGCAAATGGAGCGGGCCATGAGAGAGACTGCAAGAACGGTGACCAAGAAGAAGATGAGAAACCCTCGTGTAATAGGACCTCCCATCTCCCAGAAGGTCATTGCATGCACTGCACCTGGGCGTGAATCCTTGGAAGGTGGGGTGATTGGGGTTGATGGATGGAGTCACGTGAGAGAAGCAGCGCGGTGCGAGCCCTGCGTTGGCAACTGGGAAGGTGGGGTGGGGTGGATGGACGTGGTGACGTGAGAGTGGCAGCGCGCTGCGAGCTATGCGCTGGCAACATTGAAGGCGGGGTGTGGTGGATGGTCGTGGTGTACAGCGAAGGTGCAGTGCGTGGCGAGCTATGTGTTGGCAAGGAATCTTGCCAACACTGCCTGCGGCGCAGCCGGAGTAGGGTCCCCATAATACCCGGTACCGGTTTAATTTCTGACTCTCCCTTAATAAAGGCTTGAAACCCACGAGAAGTAATATTCTTACTTGTCGGGGTATACGGCTGGAGTTTCCCGGTCGGTGCAGGGTCTTGTTTCGCGGATCCTCCATTAGTCTCGGCGATTTCCCCTGGTGCCGGCTGGTCGTGACGTTTTAAATTTGCGCCACCATATTCTCCTTTTTTCGCCCTCTCCGAAGTTGCCACGTTGTCCGTTTTCTGCTTCGGGGGTGCCGCACTGTTCTTGTCCTTCAGCTCCGCACACCTTCTCTTCAGTTTCCAACACGCCAAGATACGATGTCCTGTAGCGCCGCAAAATTTGCACGTCTCATTATTTGCTAGCCGCTGCTCCACATCGCCCTCGTCGTTCTCCATCGGGTCGGCAGTCGTGGGTGGTGCTAATCGCCCCATGCCACTAGTTGGCTTGTTGCATCGTGTTCCGTAGTAGCTACTGTTCAACGTGTCGAATTGTTCGATCAGTGCTGCCGGAAACTGCGCCCACGTCCCCTCGCCTTGGACTATTCTGTTGTTGATCCACTCTAGAGCTGGGCCTCGTAACAGTGTTGCTGCGAGCCCTATGCGCATTTCGTCTTTTATCGGGGTCGTGCATCCAACGGCTTCGAAGTAAATTTTGAGTTCAGCTACAAATCGACGAACGTCGTTCCTTTTTACTGTAGGATCGAACGCCTCCGGTAGCCTCGGCTTCACTGCTTCGAGGTTAACTGTAGCTGCTGCCGTTGTCGCATGTAGAATTGTTGGTGTTGCCGCTGCTGCTGCTGCTACTGTTGTCGCTGCTGCTGTGGCGGTTGCCGACTGGTTCGCAAGGAGTTTTTCGAGTCGTGGGAGCGCCGCATGTTTTTGCTTATGCTCAGCACGTAACTCCGCGATTTTCTGTACTGAAATATCTCCTTTTCCCTCCATTTGGCGATTTACAGGAAGATGCGCGACGAAAATAATCGAATTCTAGGTGCTGGTCGACTTACTGCGAGTCAAGTTGACTATAGGATCGACGAGCGCAAATTTTGTAGGTCGCGTAAATCTCCCTTGGACGAAATTCGCGTCCGATCTTGGCCGTTGAGGAGAAAATCAATCCGACGCTCCAAATTCCAACTTTTTTGGGCGAAATTCTCTGGGCCGTTGAGATGAAACTCGATCGAACGGTCGAAACTCCAACCCTTCCACCAGTAAATCTGAGGGGTGTTCGAAAACCGAATCGAGGGGGACTTAGAAAAATTGCGCGGAACTGGTTTTACATACCCGTATCGGTGCTTTCGTCGTCGCCCCCGCGGTTTTTTAAAGGCCGGAACTAAGCGGTTGAAGACCTCGCGTGAAAACCCGCTCTGATACCAAGTGTGAGGATCTAGGATCGAGCTCAGAAAAGAGAATGTGAATTGAATGAATCACCTGGGTACAACACGAGGCTATATATAGGCTCGACACAAGGCCCCGTAACCAGGTGTTACGCGAAGGTTCCGCGGGTCGCGAAGCGTCCCGAACAGATCCTTCCCGAATTCGGTAGGAGGCAATTCGGTGGCAACCGAAAAGCCAGAATTCGGTGCACGCAACCTAGCTCGGTGCTATAACTATAATAAAATATAGGAAAGCACCTAGCCTAGGAAATCAAGCAATTCATGCATGCATATAATTATCCTATGCTAGAAATAGCATAATAAAGTAAAGGCAAGCAAGCATAGCTGGCATAAGCCGTCGTACTCTCACACTAGTGGGTCCCGTACACGGGAGTTGCGACGTGCGCACCGGTGGGCTGCTTCCAAGTGTCACGTATTTACGGGCTGAGTGATGAGGAGATGGACGGAGAAGATGCGAGTGCGATGTGTCAGCGAGTAGTCGCGAGGTGGTGCTCGCGAAGGAGTAACATGATGTGCGAGTAGCTGACAGGGCGACACGTGAACCGTCTAGATTGCGTGAACAAACGGTATATCTAACGGATGGGGTGCGGGTACGTTTTGATGGGTGAACGCTTACGTGGACCATCGGGTTGATACTGGATGCCACGTGTGTTGTCGCGTACGGATGGCAGTTGGGGTTGCGTAGTTGCAACTTTCTAGTCTGTTGGATAGGTTAGGTTTGGTAAACTTTCATGTGGTGCAGACCGTAACGGTTTTGCAACGACAACGTAGCAGGTGTAGTATCTGATTTGATACACGCATGTGTACAGAATGCAGCGGAATAGTGACTGGGTAGTTGGTTTGTCAGTTACTGACGCTATGCAGTTCTAAAACCTTGACTTGAATGTGTCGGGCAAAAATTATCGAGGAAGTTGCGGCTGAGTGTATTCTGAGTGGCTTTTCGAACTTCCCTTTTTCGCGATGGTCTCTTCTTTCATCCTGTCTTTTCTCTCGTCGCGCTTTCCGTTCGTTCTCTCTTCCTTTCGTCCTCTCGTCATCTCGTCCTTGCTTCCACTCGCGAGACTCGCCAGCATCGCGAAACCTGGTAACATGGAGATGGAGAGCAACACGTGCTCAAAGTGAGAATCGACACGATCTTAAATTATGTATGGGCAGACGATGACTCTACGCGGCAGAGAAGGATAAGATTAAGTGAAACGACTCGTTTCGAATAAATTGGAAATATTTGGTGCACACACAAACGTGCATTTCTCAAAGCGTTGTGAAAGTCCCACAATTCCCCACGTAGTATACGTACAGAAGAGAGGGGTAAACTCTGAGCAGAACGAGTGCTGAAGTCGTCGTCTTGCTTTGATCAGCGCCTCCGTTTGCGCCGCCATCATACGAGTGATTACACGGTGAACGCAGCTGCGAGGAGCAGAGATGGAAATGGCCTCGCGCATCAAATGAGGTTATATTCTTCTAGAATGGGTCACAACCATGGTTGAAAGCGCGAAATAGTGCTGTCAGTTGACAGGAGCGACTATCCGCCCACGCCACTGTCGCCGTGGACTGAACTGTCGAATTGAACTACGTAGCTCGGCTGTTCAGATCGAGGCTAAGGGTGCATTCTTGCCTCGTGTCTGACATGAGGTCAGACACGAAGTGAATTGTCGGAAGACCCGAAGTGACCTGGAACTCTGGCAATTCAATGTTCGGAAGACCCAAAGTGGGCCACTTCGGGTCTTCTGAACCTCCATCCTAACCTCCACTTCGTGTCTGACACGAGGTAGGAATACACCCTAAGATGTCGACACGCTTTCAATTTCTGCGGGAGTACTTTTGAAATGGGCACAGCTGATACAAAATAGCACAGATCAGCCACAGAATTCAGCGTAAAATAGGCTTAGTCAACATTGAGGAGAGAGCATGTTGCGGTGTGATTCAGGCTGGGGAGGTTGATTGTCTGCCACAATTATTGCCCTCATTCCGAAATTGCTCCTCCACCTCGAAATGTGCGGTGCGGCTAAATCCAGCGGACAGACATTCTTGTTGAGTTGAACTGCATACGGGCCGTCGATGCTTTGATGAGCTCCGCTAGAGGTGCGGGTAGCAGCAGCAAGAGAAAGTGAACAATAATCATGGGAGCTGGCATTGCTACATTCGTTATTGCACATGATTGTAGCCTGTTACACGTAAATCACGGACCATGAGTAGCGCTAACTTCAGTAGTATTTGTAACCAAGACCTCGTTTACATTTGAACAATGTACAACCATAAGAGTTCACAGCTTACGTTTATGAGAATCTCCAGTCACAGTTCATCTTTGAAAGAGACCCTCACTCTAAGCACACCTGCTAGCTTCTTATCGTTCACATTCAACACGCCTCCAGCCGAAACACCCTTGTTCTCTCCGCACTCCTCCCCATTCACACAGCCCACTCCATCCATGAGCTCTTTGAGTGGCTTGGAAAGATTCGGCCGTGTTGCCTCTTCGAGCACCGCAGGGGCACGGAGGTAGAGGTTGGATCCGTAAAAAGAGACGGACGGTGCTTGCAAGCGGGCGGCGAAACGTGGATCAGCCAATAGCTGGTCAATGAACCGCAGGGAGAATACGGAACAATGAGACGTCAGCATAGAAGGAAAGTAAAAAACGTGCCCTGGCTGCTCGTGGGTCTTGAGGGCATCACCTACTGCAGGGAGCGAAAGCTGCTGCAAAGTGAAACTGAAATGCGGATCTGATGCCGTGTTAGCACCGCAGGTACATACGACATACTTGCTGCAGAATGCAATCTGCCATGCCAGCACACGCTTAGTACCTACCTGCTGCAGAGTGGCTGTGGACGGTACGGTGACAGGGACGTCAGCGCTGCACACAAGGCACTCAGGGTCCCTCTCATAGGCCACGGTGTGTGAGTACACTCCCTGCGTGCCCACATACCTGAGGGGTGGGGCCCACACATGTGGGGATTGGGAGAGGGACAAGGGAGAGAGGAAAGTGTGGCATATCTGTTCAAGGCACTCGGGATCCCTCTCATAGGCCACTGTGTGTGAGTAGACCCCCTGCGTGCCCACATACCTGTGGGGTGCATAAGTGTGGGAATTGGGACAAGGACGGGAGAGATTCAAGAGTGCTTTATTTGATAAAGGAGTGCCAGCGCTGCACACAAGGCACTCGGGATCCCTCTCATAGGCCACGGTGTGTGAGTACACCCCCTGTGTGCCCACGTACCTATGGGGTGGGGGCCACACATGTGGGGATTGGGATAAGAGCAGGGGAGAGGGACGTGCGGGATGTTTGTTCAAGGGTGCATGTGAGGGCGTTCGCTAACATCACTTACTTGTTCTGAAATAGAAGCACTCTCACTGCCATCAGTGAGGGATCCATGCATATAAGCACATTCACTTACATCACGTAGTTGTTCATCCCAGCGGAGCACATTGTAGCGATCTTGAGAGTCTCCAGTGCGCACACCGCTGATATGATGGCGTTGGTTGATGCTATAGCGGGGATAATGTTCTTCACCACTCCCTGCATGAGATGCATCGTGATGGCGGTGTGACACAAAAAGGGGGATTATGGCATGGCAGTGCGATGTGTGACGATGGGAGGGGATTGCAAGAAGTGGAAGAAACAGCTTGGGAAGGGCGGGAAGGGGGTTGCAGGTTCAGGAAGAGGAGACACTGGAGAGGCGAGGCGATGTGCGGCTCACTGGTCGTGATGAAGGACAGCAGTGTGAAGAACCGCTTTAGCAAAAAAACGAGTCACTTGTTGAAAATTTGTTACCCTTACAAAACTAGAGTAGGAACCGAACGTACAGCTCTATTCAAACTCCAAGGCGAGGCGAGGCGTGGCGAGGTACACAGCACAGAGGAGAGGCGGATGACAGCATGGTGCATGGCAGCATGGTGCATGGCATGGCATGCACCTGTGTGAGAGAGAGTGTAACCCCCGTGATGCTGTGCTGCTGGGCTCGAATGACAGCCTGCCGGGGAGCACAGGGGAGATGGGAGTGTGGCAGGATGGAAGGGGAAGAAGGGGATGGAAGGGGAAGAAGGGGATGGAGGGGAATGAGGGAAGGAGGGGAAGGAGGGGAAGGGAGGGAGGAGAGAGGGACATGAACAAAGAATGAAGAACAGATGATTGTGGAAAACAGAGAAGATGCGGTAGAACATAGCAGAGTAAAAGAGGGTGATAGAGCAAGCAGTTCCTTCTGGTAGATCCACTGTATGTGCTCCAAGTGTATTGAGACGTCTGAAAACACTTCTTTTATCACGTGGTAAACGACGGTCACAGAGCAAGCAGCACCTTGTGGTAGATCCACTATATGTGCTCCAAGTTGTCCGCATCAAAGGCCTCTCCTGGACGCTCCTGGTGGTGATGAGGAGGCGGGGAGAGGAGGAGAGGAGAAGAGATGATTGGTGATAAGAGAAGAGGATTGACGTGGTGAATGGAGTAGAGTAAAGAAGGCATTGGGGAAAAGACGGAGGAATGAGACAGAGACAAAGAGACAGAAAGGAGATTGGACAAAGAAATTGAGAACGAAGCCGACAACCAAAGCAAAGTGGCAACTGATTAAAACAAGGTGAGGTTGTGAGGAGGGCAGAGCAAGAGTGGGAAGGAGAGAGGAAGTGGGTAAGTTGGTCCGGGAAAAATAATATTATACCTTTGGCCTTTTCCACACCCATCCGCCTCCTACCCCCCACTGAATGCAAAACTCTTTCCATCTGAATGAGGTGAGCATATCGATGGAATGAGTGGGCGACCCGAACCCTCTCCGCCCCATTTGCTAATCCAATCCTCCCCCTCCCCTACACAAACCCAACTCCTCCCCTCCACTTTCCCCTCCTTCCCGCCCCTCCTCCCACACGACACGCGTCTCACCTCCCCCCACTGAAAGAGGTGCGCGTATTCAATGCAGTGCGCGGGCGAGCGCGGGGTCTCAGCGAGAGTGCAGAGGGGGAACTTGGACTGCGGGGGGAAGAGCCAGAGAGTGCAGTGGAAGCACGGCGTCACCCCCGGGATGATCACCCTCGCGTGCCCCTTAAAGCCCTCAGTGCCGCCGTCCACCATGGGGCGGATGGAGGTTAAGTCCAGCTCGCCTTCAGGAGAGTACTCTGGTGGTGAGGGATGGAGATAAAAGAGGAGTCGTCGGAGGAGACACTGGGTAAGGGGTAAGAGCATTCAGGCTGCAGGCATGCCCCTTTACACCCTCCGTGCCCCCCGTCCACCATGGGGTGAGTGGAGGTTAAGTCCAGCTCGCCTTCAGGAGAGTACTCTGGTGGTGAGGGAGGAGACGAGGAGAGGAGTGAAGGGATGGAGACGAGGAGAGGAGTGAAGGAGGAGGGGGGCACACTGGGTGGGAAGAAGGATCACTCCGGCATGCCCCTTGAAGGCCTCCATTGCGCCGTCCACCATGGGGCGGATACAGGTTAAGCCCAGCTCGCCCTCAGGGGAACACTCTGGTGGTGAGGGTGGAGATGGGGGTGTGCCGCCGTCCAGCTCGCCCTCAGGGGAACACTCTGGCGGTGGTGAGGGATGGAGATAAAAAGAGGAGTCGACGGAGGAGACACTGCGCAGGAAGAAAGAGCACTCAGGCATTCCCCTTGAAGCCCTCCGTTCAGCCGTCCACCATGGGGCGGATGGAGGTCAACTCCAGCTCGCCACGCCATCGGGGGGGTACTCTGGTGGTGAGGGGGCGGAGACGGGGGTGGGGCAGGAGGGGGCGGAGACGGGGGTGGGGCAGGAGGGGGCGGAGACGGGGGTGGGGCAGGAGGGGGCGGAGACGGGGGTGGGGCAGGAGGGGTGGAGGAAAAGAGGATGAGCACCTTCGCATGCCGCTTGAAGCCCTCCGTTCCCCGAAATGAAGGTCAAGTGCAGCTCACTCTCAGGGGAGTACTCTGGTGGTGGTGGGGGAGTGGGGGAAAGGGGGGGGTGTTGGGTAGGGAGAACGATGATCACCCTCGCATGCCCCTTGAAGCCTCCGTGCCGCCGTCCGTTATGAGGCGGATAGAGGCATGGCATGGCACTCATCTCTCTGTCCAGCATGGCAGCCCCACACGCAAAGTCGTGCAAATTGCAGTGCACAGCCATCCTCGCAGTGCAAATTGCAGTGCACAGCCATCCTCGAAGTGCAAATTGCAGTGCACAGCCATCCTCGAAGTGCAAATTGCAGTGCACAGCCATCCTCGAAGTGCAAATTGCAGTGCACAGCCATCCTCGCAGTGCAAATTGCAGTGCACAGCCATCCTCGAAGTGCAAATTGCAGTGCACAGCCATCCTCGAAGTGCAAATTGCAGTGCACAGCCATCCTCGAAGTGCAAATTGCAGTGCACAGCCATCCTCGAAGTGCAAATTGCAGTGCACAGCGAATCCTCGAATCGTTCACTCGGCACGCAAGTGTGCCACTCAATCAAAGCTAGGTCTGACCTAGGAAGCCACAAACGAGGCTGTTGATGTAGGAGCGCGCTTCAAGCGAGTCCAGCCCCAGCACGATGATGTTGAAATCGTTGAAGGAGGCAGGCTTGTCCTCTATGCAACAGAAGTGAGGGGTCACCTGGTGGGGTGCGGTGGTGGGGATAGGTGGGGGTGGGCGGGATGGGGCAGGGTGCGGAGCAGGCGGGGGAGGGGGGGTTTGCTGAAGAACGAGGCGGGCTTGTCCTCTATGGGACAGAAGTGGGGGGTCACCTGGTGGGGATGGTCGGGCGGGGGGTAGGGAGAGGGCGAGTGGTGATTCAGAAAGTGGCAACGGGTTGGGTGGGGGTTATGACAGGAAACCCCGAGAGGTGGGGTTTGATAGAGAGTGAGGGAATACAGCACAAAGCACAACAGGTGCAGACGTGGCAAGTCCTTTCCCCCCCTCACCTGCACCCCGCCCACGCGGCTCATGACTCGCTCGGCTGCCACCACTGCCTTGGGCTTGCCCACGTCTGCCGGGCTGCACGCAGGGGCATGGAGCAGCACGCAGGGGTTGCATGCAGGGGAGAGGGGAGAGGGGAGAGGGGAGAAGGGAGAGGGGAGGGAAAGACAAGTTAATTGTCACTCGCTCGGCTGCCACCACGGCCTTGGGCTTGCCCACATCAGCCGGGCTGCACGCAGGGGAGAGGGGGTTGCATGCAGGGATGGGCAAAGGCACGCGTGGGTAGGAGGGCCGCGAAGGAAGGACCAGAGGAGTCAGGAGGGAAAGCGAGATAAGAGTTGTTGATTCTCACTCGCTCACGGCCGCGTGGCTCTGCTGCCACCACGGCCTTGGGCTTGCCCACATCTGCCGGGCTGCACGGAGGGGCATGGGGCAGCACGGGGGGAAAATGGGGCCATGGGCGACGGGGTAAGGGGAGTGGGGGAGAGCATGAAGGTCATGGCCGGTGCACTGTTCATACAGTGCAGCAGCACTGTTCATACACTGCAGCAGCACTGTTCATACACTGCAGCAGCACTGTTCATACACTGCAGCAGCACTGTTCATACACTGCAGCAGCACTGCTCATACACTGCAGCAGCACTGCTCATACACTGCAGCAGCACTGTTCATACACTGCAGCAGCACTGCTCATACACTGCAGCAGCACTGCTCATACACTGCAGCAGCACTGCTCATACACTGCAGCAGCACTGTTCATACACTGCAGCAGCACTGTTCATACACTGCGGCAGCACTGCTCATACACTGCAGCAGCACTGTTCATACACTGCAGCAGCACTGTTCATACACTGCAGCAGCACTGCTCATACACTGCAGCAGCACTGCTCATACACTGCAGCAGCACTGCTCATACACTGCAGCAGCACTGCTCATACACTGCAGCAGCACTGCTCATACACTGCAGCAGCACTGTTTATGCAACCCACCGGAAGAGGACCTGGTGTCAATCACGCCCATCACGCCCATCACGCCCATCACGTTGATGCTCCCAAACCCCGACAGAAGTAAATGCTTCAAGGCTAGTGATACACTCTAGAAGCACCGTTGACACGCGTTAGCGCCACTGTTCATACACTGTAGCAGCACTTTTTGTGCACTGTAACGTACCGAAAAAGGAATTGGTGGTTGAGGTTGGAGACGTCGATGGTATCCATGTCAATCACGTCTATGCTGCTGAACCCTGACAGGTCCATGCACTATGACAACACTGCCCATGCACTGTGGCAGCACTGCCCATACACTGTAGCAGCACTGCCCATGCACTGTAGCAGCACTTCTCCTTCACTGAAACAGTACTCGAGTCGAGTCGAGCTCACCTGAACAAGAACTGCCTGTTGAGGTTAGAGACATCGATGGTATCCATGTCGATCACGTCTATGCTGCCAAACCCCGACAGCACCAGGTCCTTGAGCAGCTCGCAGCCCAGCCCGCCCGCGCCCACCACCAGCACGCGGCAGTCGTCCTTCAGAAAGTCGCGGATCTGGTTGGTGTGGGTGCAGGGGGGAGCGGGGCAAGGGGGGAATGAAGAGGGGTGGCGAGGAGGGGATGCATCCCTCCCACCCAGCAGGTCCTTGAGCAACTCGCACCCCAGCCCGCCCGCCTGCTCCCACCAACTCGCACCCCAGCCCGCCCGCCTGCTCCCACCAACTCGAAGCCCGCCCGCCCGCCCGCCCGCCCCCACCAGCAGCAGCACTCGGCAGTCTGACTTGAGGAACTCGCGATTCTGGTTGGTGTGGGTGTAGGGGGGAGTGTGGAGCAGGTGGGAGAGGCGAGTGGGGACGAGGGAAGACTGAGGAAGGGGAGAGAATGGAGAAGGAGTTGCAAGGAGAAGGGGAAATATCCCAGGAAGAAGGGTGGGAAGAAGGGGCGAGTGGGAAAGGAGGAGAGCAGGGAAGGGGGGAGAGTGGGGAAGGGGGAGAGTGGGGACGGGGGTAGATTAGGGAAGGGGGGAGAGTGTGGAAGGGGGGAGAGTGGGGCAAGGAGGAGAGTGGTGAAAAGGAGAGAACGGGGAAGAGGGGAAAGAGGAACGAACGAAACGCTCAAGGTGTCTCGACCGCGCGCAGGCCAGAAGCATGCTCCCACGGTGGTACCGTATTAGGTTTCACTTGCCAGCCCACGGCAGTCTCACTTGAGACAGCCGTGAATGTGGCTGGTCGGTGTGGCGCAGGAGGAGGAATGGGTGGGTGGCGGGAGCAAGGGGCAGCGGAAAAGGGTGGGGAAGGAGAGGGGCGCACATGACAGCAGGGCCTAGCGAGCCCGCCTGCTCGCCTGCTCCATGCGAGCACCATGCGTTCCAACGCGCCTGCTCCCACCACGCACGGCATGGCCTCATGATGCCCCACGCACGGCATACCTCCGGCGAGGGTTCGAATCCAGGCCCGACGAGCATCCCTGGTCGCAGCAACAGACGGTCCAGATCTCGCCACTGCCCCTCCAGCTCCATCGCTGCGCCCTCCGCTGCCATCGCAGCCGTTCGTCGCGACGCCGATCAACGCGCCGCGGGTACCTAAAGCGGCGCGTATGCTCCCCGGGAACTGCTGTGCTGCGCCGCGCGTCGTGGCGCCGTCGATCAACGCGAATGACCCCGATCGACGGCTCTACTGCACCAGGGCAAGCGAGCGAGTGCGGCTTCGAGGGTCGCTGAGTGCTCCGCGCGTCGCGTCGCCGATTGGCGCGAATAGCGAAACGTACGTAAACAAAAGACGTTTCAGAAAGCGAGAAGGTTGCGGAGGCTGGGAGTGTGACGTAACACGGAATGAGGGAGAGGAAGGTCAAACTCTAATTTTTTAAAGCGGTAATGCTGGGTGGCACGGCTAAACACGGCAATTTCACTGAATTGGGTGTGCAATGCTTTTGTGTGATGTATAGGAAATGGCCCAATGTTTCCATATGTGTAGTTCGTTTCAGCAGAAAAACCAAAAGATACGGTACTGGGATATTTCTTCAGATTTTCCTACCTAGCAACCAGATTTTACATATCAGGTGAGTGTATATCGTGCCGTGAAGTGGCTAAGCACCTGAAGCATCAACAAACAGAGCATTCACTTCATGTGTAATGACCAGGGCCCTAGATATCAGACTTTAGAGTCTGAATCAGAGTCCGTTCAGACTTTTTTTTGGTACCTAGTCTGCACTCTAAGAATTTTTTTTTGGGGCCCTGTCTGATGTTTCAGAGTTTTTTTAACATACTTGTCTGTAATTTCAGACTATTTTTAGTAGTGTAGGCTGTGCCTCAGACTTGTATCGGGGGTGCATTCTGAATCCGATAATACAGGGGCAGGGTCCAGCCTGGCGGCGTGGAGCAGTAACCCCGTCAATCACGGGCGGGAACCCACGATTTCGCCAGCGCGACAACGCACAGTTGCGTTGGTACAGCGTTGCTGTAATCCCACCCAATTCTGACCGGGTCGAGCGTTCCGAGGAGTTAATATTCTCTCCCAGCAGCACTGTTTAAAGGCTCCCTGTTCCCCACAGATGAAGCCTACACAGCTGCAAAGGCTTAGTGGAAGGTTCCAGGCCCAAGAGAAGCCGAATCGGCCTCGGATAAATCCTTCTAACCTTTCTCAGTTGAAAACGGATACTGAAGCTGCACCTTCGAGCGCAGGACCTAGGGATAACATGTTCGACGTACCCTACGATCCTATAAGCGATACCATCTACGGATACTCGGAGCAGCAGCAACCACTAGTACTCGAGGTGATCTGCAACGGGCGTCGCCTCCAGGCCCTGGTGGACAGTGGTGCGTCCCACTCGGTGTGCGACCGCGGGACGTTGGAGAAAATTGGAGAATCCTCAGAAGAAACCCAGTTTACAGCAACGATGGTGGACGGTACGAAGCTTCCCATCCACGGCAAGTCAACACTGCAGCTGCAGATAGGGGCGTTGAGGTGGAAGCCGACGTTGCCGATCACGAACATCAAGGGATTAGATTTCATCTTGGGGCGAGATTTCTTGAAGCGGTTCAACCCCGAGATCGACTGGGTCAACCGGAAAACGTGCATCTACAACAACGGGAAACGAGTGGAGCTGCGAAGCTGGACGGATACAGGGAGCATTCCTGAAACGACACTGGCACAGTTCGAACGGACAGTGAACGAGAGTAACACGGGTTACTTAGCACTGGTTATGGCAGCAGCAGAGGAGGAGGTCTTGGAGCAGTACAAGGATATAATGCCCAACGACCTACCCGCAGGCGTACCTCCAGCACGCACCCACGAGCACGAGATCGTGGAGGAACCAGGTGCGAAACCCGTCTCACGTGCACCATACCGACTGAGTCCGACCGAACTGACAGACATGAAAAAACATATAGAGTATCTACTGGACAGACAACTGATCCGCCCATCCACCTCTCCCTACGGTGCACCAGTTCTCCTCACTCCAAAGCCAGACGGTAGTTTACGGATGTGCATCGACTACCGCGCACTGAACAAACAGACAGCACTGACTACAGCGCCAGTACTCATCCTACCGGATCCAGGCAGAGACTACGAGGTGGAAGCAGACGCTAGTGACCAAGCAGTCGGAGCAGTACTAATGCAGGATCACGGACGCGGTTTGCAGCCCATCGCCTACCTCAGTAAGAAGCTGTTACAGTGGGAGAAAGACTTAGCGGTAAGGAAGGGTTCAGGAAAGATTTGGGTACCGAATCACGCCCCGCTACGGCAGATCCTATTGGAGGAGTTTCACGACGTACCTTACGCGGGACATTTCGGGAGCAACAAGACATTAGCGGGAATAGCAAAGTATTACTACTGGCCCGGGATGGCAGCAGACGTGCAGCAGTTCGTCACCTCTTGCAACACGTGCCAGCGGATGAAGAGCAGCAAGCAGAAAAAAGCGGGTTTACTTTAGCCTCTACCCGTACCGGAGCAGCCATGGCAGGTCGTTAGTCTCGACTTTATCACATGACTTCCTTCGACCTCACGGGGGCACGATTCCATCCTCGTAGTAATCGATAAGTTCTCCAAAATGGGTCACTTCATACCAACCAACGCCACGGCAACAGCTGAAGCAACTGCTCGCCTCTTCTTCAACCGCATCATCACCATCCACGGCATCCCCGCTACACTCATCTCAGATAGAGACCCAAAATTCACCAGTAAGTTCTGGAAGGAGCTCATGGGACTGTTGGGGACAAAGCTTGCAATGTCTTCAGCATACCACCCCCAGACTGACGGACAGACAGAGCGACTCAATCAAGTGGTTGAACAGTTACTGCGCACAGCTTGCAAGGACGACGTCAGCCACTGGGACACACAGTTACCGACCCTAGAGTTCGCTTACAACAACGCCTCACATGCGGCCACAGGGAAAACTCCTTTCTTCCTGTGTTACGAACGGGAACCACTCACACCACAGCAGCCTACCACACCGGCACACGTCCAAGCCGCACATGACTTCGTCACCACCATGCAGCAGCTATGGGAGAAGACTCAGCGACGACTCACCACAATGCAGACCTCCCAGAAGCAGTATGCCGATCGTCAGCGACGTGATCACTCAGTAGCAGTCGGAGATCAGGTGCTTCTTGACACGCGCAACTTGAACCTGTCTCACCTCCCATCCAAACTCCGGCCTCGCTTCTGTGGTCCTTTTCTCGTTGAGGCACAGGTGACACTAGTAACATTCCGCTTGCGCTTACCAGATACATGGAAGCTTCACAACGCTTTCCATGTCCAGCTACTGAAACTCTACAAGGACCCCAACCAACAGTTCCAGGGACGGCAGCTACCGCCACCACCACCTGTTCTCATACAGGATGAACCCGAGTACGAGATCGAGCGCGTTCTCTCTCATCGGCGCCGTGGCGGCAAGGCCCTCGAGTTCCTGATACGCTGGAAGGGATACGACCCCACTGAGGATAGTTGGGTTGCAGAAGTTGATATGGGCAACGCACGCCGTGCTCTCAAGGACTATCTTGTCAAGCAGGGTGTTTCTCACGCCACCCAGCTTTGAGGGGGGGACGTGTGAGAGTACGACGGCTTATGCCAGCTATGCTTGCTTGCCTTTACTTTATTATGCTATTTCTAGCATAGGATAATTATATGCATGCATGAATTGCTTGATTTACTAGGCTAGGTGCTTTCCTATATTTTATTATAGTTATAGCACCGAGCTAGGTTGCGTGCACCGAATTCTGGCTTTTCGGTTGCCACCGAATTGCCTCCTACCGAATTCGGGAAGGATCTGTTCGGGACGCTTCGCGACCCGCGGAACCTTCGCGTAACACCTGGTTACGGGGCCTTGTGTCGAGCCTATATATAGCCTCGTGTTGTACCCAGGTGATTCATTCAATTCACATTCTCTTTTCTGAGCTCGATCCTAGATCCTCACAACTAGCATTTTGCCACTTGGCATCCATCGGAGGGCGCATCATGCCTATCCACCCTATCCAACATTGCACCCTCGCCGTACAAATGACGCACCGCCACATTCTCGTTTACTTCGCCATATTTCTCGCCACCCAGTCGTTTTGCTCACGCTACAAGGTTGCGACTCCATTCGCACCGTCCATCTGCACACATAGTCTCCAACTCCCAGCTGCCACGTTGCGCTCACAGCCGCGATCTACCCCGTACACTTGCCTTCGGATCGTCCACTCGCACATCTAGTAACCATCCATCCATCTCCTCGCCATAATCATTCGCTCAATGTGCGCAAAACAATCTTGACCGTGCACCTGTCGCGCCCTCGTCGAATATCAACTCGAGCTCCCAACCAGTACGCCATCACTCCTACACGTAAATTCGATTGATCTAACGTACAGTAGAGTGACACGCGTAGTTTTGTTCGTGCGTGTCAAATTGGGTATAGGTTCCAGTTCAATGCTTATCCATGATGATATCCAATCGGAACGCCTCACGCCCGCAATGTTGTGACGGGCACGTCCAACCCAGTCGCGACATATGGAACCCTCCGCGACACGCGCCGCCAAGTGCGGCGCACCATTAGTCCGCCCGCGCACCTGGTTCACACCTGCATGTCGCATTGTACATCATCCTCTACTTGCCTGTGTTATCTCGAACAACAATACCCCAAACGAGTTCTCCCATTTATAACAAGGTCGCACACAATGAGTACCACAACTCCTAACTACACCCGTCCTCTTCAACTCTCAATCACACACATGCAACCCCCTTACCCCACATATCCAAACTTCCAACACCGCACACATAGCCGTTCCATCAACGCAGCTCTCCAGCTGTCCCTTCAACCGTCCACCACTCACATCCTCTATTGACGGTCTACTCAGCACCAAGTGACGCCGAAAGGTCGTCATCCCCTACGATGCCTTCGGACTGGGCGGCGGCCGCGGGCTTCATGTGCTCCAGGCCGCACGCAGAGATGCGCAGGCCATGGCGCCCCCAAATCCACGCCTCGCGCTCCGCGTCATACTCGGGGTTGCGGATACGGATCGCCCTCTCCACAGCCTCCTTGACCAGGACCTTGAGCCCATCCACAACGTGGGCGTTCCCGCCCGCCGAGTTGGAGAGCCGGCCTTTCCGCGCCTCCCAGTAGAGGACGCAGTCGGAGACCTGCGCCCAACACAAAAAGCGTCAGTCCATGCATTTCCAGTAGGATGCACACCATTGCACACATCGCGCGCACACACTCACCACATGCTCCAACCAGGCTAGGTGGTACACCTTAAGGGTCATCACCAGCCCTGCCTTCTTCGGCTTGAAGGCAGCCTTCGCACATGTCGCGAACGCCCGGGAGGCAAACGGCATGCCATCCCTGTCGTGCGCCCAGCTCGTCAGCACTAGAGTTTCTGCACACCACATCCGAAGCGTGGGTATCAATGTCCACAATTCTCGCATTGGTGCATGACTAGAAACGGTTGACGACTCCAACGCGCGTCTCATGCACTCACCAGGGGGGTCAGCGCCAAGCCCAATGCGCTCCCTTATCTTCTCGATACTACGCTCCTTTTCAGGTGCCCACGGGCTGGATGCGTCCCTGTCGTCCCGGAACAGGCCGAGCTTGGGAAGTGCAATGTCTCGCACGCGAGCGGCAGCCCTTGTCTTCCACTCCGACAGCGTCTTGTTGAGATCCGCCCGTCGCGACTTGTCAGCCGCCAACGCCAAACAGGCGAAGCTGTGAGGCAGGCGGTCCAGCACCGCGCACACTCCGTGAGTCTTATCGTCGCTGCTCGGGTAGAAGGTCATCGACGACGTGGGCCTGTTGAGAAACATGTGAACTCTGGCCAGCTCGCAAACCCGCTGCGCACCCATAGTATACACCATCACCAACATCAGCATTCACCGTGGACCATCAACGGGTACAGAGTGCAACCCAATTCGGACGGGAAGTTACTGAACCGAGATGGAAACATGCCCGCTCACCTTCTACGCCTTGTCTGTCGGCAGATGCGCCAACGCTCGTTGCAGAATAGGAGACTTTGTAGTGCGCATATGACGACCACCAGAACCATGCGTATCTTCCTCGTCGTCCTCTCCGTCATCGTCTGACCCGCCGCTCCATGTCTCGCCACGCTGACGCTTCGGGTTCATGCACCCCTGCTCCGGGTCTCTCTGCTTCCGAGCCTTACGCTTACGAGATCCACCAGAAGGCTGCGCCATTGCATTCAAGAACAGCGCCTCCAACCGCGCGTTCTCCTTGGCGCTCCTGTCCTGAGCCCGGATGAGTTGCTCGAGAACCCTGCTCGAGATGCGCACGTCATCGCCGTCGGTGTCCACTGGGGTCCCGCATGCGCGGTCCACATGCCCGTCCACATGTCCTCGGCCTTCGCCCCGAAACACATCCGTCTCCCCCGCGCCCCGACTTTCGCGCCCGTCTGCTTTGGGTGAAGCGGTTCCCGCACACCCATCGTCGGCCGTCTTCCCTCCAGTGGCAGGTTCGCCGGATTCTTCGGGTGAGGCTGAGGCCGATGTGTCTGAGTCTGCCTCGCCATCCTCTTCATTGCGCTCGGACGATGAAGCACTCTCTGCACCAGTGCTGTCATCTGCGATGATACAGAAGCTCCAGACAAGCACGGTACCACATGTCAGCTATACTTGTTGTACACGGGGGTTCATACGTATAGACAATGCGAACACTCGCATTAATACAACGAGTCACCCATCCACGCTCTTTCTGCATACCTTGCTCATGCTGTACCACCTCGTTTCCCTTCTTGGCCACGCTCAGACGCTTAGGCAGTGTCGGCCCGCGTTTCCCGTTCGACAGCCGACCGCGCGACATTGTCAGCTGATACGACGCTCGTAGGTACGCCGGCGGGTTAGATACACGACGGGCGTGCCCTCCCGTCCGAGTATCCTCTGAAGCAAGCGAAGTATCCATTGTAGCAACAATAGTATCCAGTGAGATGCTCACAGAATGACGCGCGGTTCTATACTTCTACGTATAGCTTCCGCTCAACTTCTTACCACACCGGAGCCCATCTTGGGCAGTGAGTTTGGTAGGCAATACGACTTCGTGGCCATTTGGATGACCGCAATCCGAAACGGCTAATACATGCACACCACGTCATCCGCCGCCATGTACATGTGTGCACACATGAACCACACACCGCGCACATCCTGGCGACACAACCGTATCGTTGGAACTCGTTTGTGAGTACATCCTGTCTCACGGAAGTATTCACTGTGCACGTTGTTGACGTACATCCTTTCATTATACATCTCACCAATTGCACGTTACACTAGCACACAATGTACCGACCAATTGAGCTACATTGTGTAAGCAAGAGCCTTCGCACCCATCAATCGCGAATACAAGCAGAAAATCTGACGCCCTGCACATCTCTAAATGCATTTCTCGCAAAACATTTCTCGCAAAACAATTGCAATCATGTGTATGTCTATGCATCTACATCAACTATGCAGGATGGTCTGCCAACTTCTCATGTGCAACAGAGTCTTCCACACCCTCCTCGGCTTCGTTGTGCCGAGCACACCCACCGCTGCTGTTGTGCACAGGGGCCGTTCCCCCACTCTCAGCATTGTCAGGGTCGTCTGGTTCGTTGGCCGCCTTGTTGTTGCTATCCACCACCCTCTGCCTCTTTGACGTGCGCCTGGCAACCACTCGCTTCCTCCCTCGTTTCAGCTTCCAGTTCACGCCCTCCCGCGCCTCCCTCCAGCTCCGCCACCTCTACCACCTCCGCGCTTCCACCAGGAGCTGCAGATCTTCCTTGGTGCATCCACGCAGCATCGCCTTCTCTGCGGCTGACAGACTGACCGTGTTGGGTATCTTGTCTCGTGGCCTCAGGACGAACGCACCTGCGGCGTACGCAAAAGCCGCCTCCTCCTCCGAGGTGTATGCACCCAGCCGCTGTTGCTTACGCTTTCCTCCTTCCTTGATCAGGATCTTCACGCCGAACTTGCCTGATGCTTTCTCCAACTTGACTCCTGTGTACTTCGTTGCACACGTGTCGTCACCATCCTCTTCGTCCTCCGTGTCTGACACGAGATCCTCTTCTTCTTCTGCCTTCACCGTCTCGTGGCCGCTCGTATCTCCCCACGCATCAGCTCCAGCCGGCACCGTCACCCCGAGCAGCGGTCTCCTGCGGGTGAACATCCAGTGAGGTATGGTCCCTCCCGACAGCAGCGGGTTTTGCAGCAAGCGCGCTGTCGGATCACATGCAGCGAACGAGGAGGCCAGCGCAACACGGGTGGCATTGCGTACGCCACCCTCCTCTGGACTGCTGTCATCACGCCTCTTGCGACCAGATGGACGCTGTGGAGTGTGTGGGGCATTCTTGGTGCCACCTGCCTCTGCTTTCGCGCCGGATCTCACGGGGTTGCCTTGCATCAGTAGTTGGGTTGCAGCGGACACCACCTCGTCGCGCCTCAATCCCACAAAACTGGCTATGACGGTGAAGCTCGCGTCCAGGTACATCACATCGTTCTTCAAAGTCGCCATTTCCCTCATCATCGCCGTTACCCGTGCGTCATCCCCGGCTTGAGTGACCGGTGCTTGCCTCACATCTTCCATACCAGCGTTCCTCTCCCGCACCACTGCCCCCCCCTCTGTTACCCGACCTGCGTCCTGCGGGGGAATTTCGATCCCCAGCGCTTCCAACTGCTGAATGAGATCTCCGGTCGCGTGTGCGCACAAGTCGCGCCGCATCTCCCGCCGGTATTGGTGCGGCGTCACACCCTGAAACCAGAGCCCGCTCAATAACGTGGTGAAGTCGGACATCACCATGGTCTTCAGGTACTGGCAAACAAAAATCCCACAGTCCTGCTTGTTCGGCTGCTGTGGCAGCTTATCCTCCTGCACTTCGATAAACGCACACTACAGTTAGCAATCCGTCTACCCTCGTAAACATTGTGCACACAGGTATGCGCATTCACTGGTACCCTCACCCGTAATATTATGCACTTCGTCTCCAACAGCTGCTTGTCCACAAAATCCATGTTCGCGTCAGGGTTACTCGCCTTGGCGAGTTCGGACAGCACTCTGCACGTTACAGGCCGAAATCGTTAAAACAAGTTCTGGGTTGCTGCCAGCGACATGCAACTTCGACAGTGAACCCCGTACTCACAGCTTGGTGCCTGCAAAAATCATGCGGGTGTTCCTTGTCTTTATGCTACTGTCCAGCAAGACCAACTTCATTCGCTCTTTGCCTTCGGATTTCGCGGACTTGGTAAGCACCGATGGAGATACAGCGATGACGAGCGAGTATTGCTCCCTACGCTCAACATGAGAGGGTATGTTGGGATTAGGGTTAGACAACCATCGGTGTCATGCTAAAGAATCCGCTCACGAACCGGATATTTGTGATACGTACCCCTCTAGCACAGGGATCGCGAGATATTCGTGCTGCAGTAGCGGAAGCCCGTTCCCCAGCGTCAAAGGCGCACCACACGAGTTCGTCTGGAAGTACGCCTTGCAGTCCAAGGCAGCCCATGTTTTCCCATCACGGAGAGTCGGCTTCCGGATGCTAAGCAGCCTGCACAGTTAATGAACAAGAAATAACAAAGCGTATAAGATGTTGCCCATACATCAGATACTACGCAACAAAGCGTCAACCAGGTGACCACCGTAACGATACTTACACGTTGTGAAAGTCTAGCACGCCATCAGTAATCCACTGATCATCCTCGATCGACATGAGGTCGTCCTTATCCACCTCACACCCGACGCCGCGGTGATTTATAAGCGTCATGTTTCTGTACGAAGACTTCATGTAATTCCGTGCGACGAGGGCCACCAAATCTTCCGGCACCTGCTCCCGCGCCGCATCCTCCTTATCAGTAGCAAACTTCCTGGCCCTTCCGGAGTCCTTAGTCGGCGGGATCGGCCCTGTATTCTTCATGTTAGACTCGGCCTTTTTCGACGACCTGGTTCTGCACGTCGGCGGGGCAGGATCTTGGTCGTCGGAGCTGCTGCTAATTTCGGGTTGATAGAACCTGTTGCGCTTAGATGTCAACTGCTTAGGATTCGCCATCATGATCTAACAACGACTAGAATACAAACTACACCGGCTGATTAAGACGAGAGCAGGTGGGGTTGGCCGGAGGAACACATTTACGGGGAGCGCAAGCGATGAGGATACTATGGAAAATGAAGGAGATTGAAAGGCGTAACCCTCTTGGATCATGCACAGCTGGTGTGACCGTCATGTAGAGCTCCATTGATCTACACCGTTGGCGCAAGCGTGCATGCGATGGCCAGGTGTGATGCGACCACTCGAGAGGATGTGATGGTTCAGCGCCATGCAGATCCACGTGTGCTAATCCTAGGGTTTCGGATGATGTGGTCGGAGGTTGAAGCCGGGTTACCAAGCCGATGCATGCAAGCGAATGTGCGGTTGTGTACCTGTAGTTCGAATTTTTTGATATGGAGGCCGAATGACGCGAATTACGGTAACGATGTACGCCGTATGGTGAACATACATGTATGTGTCTCTTCGCGCGCCGAGTCCCGGTTATTGCAATCGAGGCGTACATGGTTATTAAACTTGTACAACAAGTAAACGCGATTGCAATGTGTTATGTTACGTCAGTTGAAGGTGGACTGAGTTTGCCAAAACTTTTGTGAATCGACATGACAAAGAATCAAAGATATGCAATGGTGTTGGTGGTTACGGAAACAATTGATGATAATTTTAAAATCCCGATAAACAAGTTACAATCATTGGTGGGGCGGTGGGACAATTGTGTATGCCGAATCACATACAACACATACACACATAATATAATTGTACCTTTCACTGCAACGAGTACGGCTATGTTCTGTGCGCACACCACACAGCTTCCTGCACATGCGTGTGCTCGAACCAGCCCAACTCTGTTGTACAAGAGTGCACCAGATGTGCTGGGCAGGGTTTTTACAGCAGCAATTCCTAGGGTTTCACGGCTGTAGGATGGCGGGGAACAGTTGCCTGGTGTGCAAGACAGTGTTTAAGGACGACAGCAGGTTACAGTCCCATGTAGCGAATGGGGCTGTTTGTCGCGAGGAGTTGAAGAGGAAGCGTGAACAACTTTTGTGGGCGGCATATTTGGAAGCCGTTGCGTGCGAAGGAGAGAGTAGACCAAATATCCCACCGGCATCCAGGCTTAAAAACAACGATGGCAGCTTTCTCTCCGTTGCTCCAACGGTGTCGATACCCGAAGTTAGTGTGGTTGGCGACGCGGATACACCATCCGACGGCGCTAACGCCGAGTCTACAGAAGGCAGCGATAGGACAGAGATTTTCGATACACTGACAGAGTTGTACCTGTTTTTCCGTGACGCCGATCTGTCGCACCGGGAAGTTAACCGTCTGCTACACATTTTCCGCAACCCTCGCTTCAACCTAAGGGCTCTCAGACGATGGCGCAACTGGGTGGATGTGCGCCGCTGGGGCATGGCGCGAGCTCCAGCCGACATGGTCCCGTGGAAAACGGAGGAGATAGTGGTGAGGGGTCCCAAAGGACTGCAAATGAAGCTGCTACTGCACTTCCGCGACACCGAGTTGGTACGTGATGGGAGGCCAACCTGGAGGCGATGTCGGGGTGACGTGTAGATGAAGTTGGCCCGCATCATGTTCTCACCCACGTTTTTGCGCTACGCACACAGATCTTGAAGAAGCTGGTGCGGACGTTCTCATCCAAAAAGGGGTTCGTATGGAAGCCGAGGAAGATTTATCGGAAGAAGAACAACGAGAGGGTATTTGAAGGACCGGAGACAGGTGATTGGATGCACTCTGCTCAGGTACGCACATGTTTGTTGTTCAGTTGTCATATGTCGTGCATACTGGTACCTGCACGAGGTGTCACAACGCTCACCGGCCCGTGCGCTCTACATGGCAGAAGGAGATTAATGACGACCAGGCACTCGTACTAGGCGTGCTGATATACAGCGATAGCACGCATGCATCACGGAATGGACGAAGGAACGCGTGGCCTGTGCTGATCTCACTTGTCAACATACCCGAAGAATTGTGAGGAGTGGAGCCCGGGCACACATTGGCGGCGGTGCTTCCATTCCCGCCTGAATGGGCGTCGCCTACGGAGAAGACGCGCGTGTTCCAGGAGGCGCTGAAGATAATACTCGCACCCATCATGCGAGAGTCCGCCAGGTACTGGGAGGGGATGGGGGTGGGTATGATAACGATACACGGGTGGGGAAGGGGGGCCACCCCAGTTAGTAGCCACCCTATTGGGAGATATGCATACGATCCATCACTAAGTGAACACTATGTGTGCATTGCGGCACTATGCAGCGCGCCAGTACGCTTCTTCTACTGCACAGACGCGGACGGGAAGGTGCACAAGGCGGTCCCTTGCCTGTACGGATACCCTGCCGACTTCCCGGAATCCAGCAGGGCCTCCGCAACTCTGCAGCAAGGATCGCATCGGCCATGCGCTAACTGCTATGCTGTGAAGGGGGAGTTGACCATGATGGTGGGGAAGTGTGATCCACGGACCCCCGATCAGCAGAGGGACATTGTTCGTCAGATCTTGGTGTGCCTTGCGTGAGGTGTGTTAGGGGGTCTTGGCGACGATGATGCCCAGTGTTGGTAGTCCAGAGTACACCGTACACTGGGGTGGAGGCGTGCTTCAAACACCGTGTGGTTCGTTGTGCGAATGCGTGTGGTACGTGCAGGCAATCATGACGAAGAAACCGGTGCTCACGAAGAAGTATCGGACAATGCGGATTGGCGGAGCGTCGGATCCAGTGTACGATGAGTACATAACCGCGCTGGGAGACGATATGAAGGGTTTGGCTGACGAGTTTAAGGCATTGGGTCTGGCTACCAACAGCGTGCAGGTGAAGTGATTACAATGTGGCGGACATGTGACGTTTGTAGTCTTACATGATGGTGCTCACCGCACTCATGATGTGCACGTGTTGTTGGTTTGGTGGGGATGGGGTGACAGGTCCACACGGCGGTGGCCATTCCGCGCACAAGAGGTAGCGAGCTGGTGGCCAAAGGGACATTTGTGAAGGCGTCGCCCCGAGAGAGGTGGTATTCGGACGTGGCGCTGCTCAATGACAAGGGTGGGGACTGGTATGCAAAATGTCTGTGCATTTTCAGGGCGGTTGACCGTGATGGGGATTGGAAGGGGTACGCATATGTGAGGTACTATAAGAAGGCTGGGAGCTGAAACCTCACGGGATGTACGCAGCTGCACAAGACAGTGGAGGATGTGAGGTTCTCGGTGGTGGAGCTGAAAAGCATGCAGAGAGTGGTGCACGTGTGCCCTTCGTACAGCAACAAAAAGGTGCAGCTAGTAAATAGGTTTCTACTATGCGAGTGACGCAATGCGTTTAGAGACAGTGGTTGCACGTCGGAATTTTAAACCCTAAATCACTGCGTAGTGCGTTCTTTATGTGTAGAGGCGCGATTTGATGGAACTTGTGTTATCCAGCGGTGATGTTATTATACACTCGTGCTCGGATGATAAGATGTTCAATCAGGTATAGGTGTGTAGTATGGTGGTTAAGTTATGAATCGTATAATGCGTACGGGTACCCTTATTCCTTGCGCGGTCGGGGTTGCACAACCACAATGTGTGGTGGTGCACACTCGGGGTCTCAGGCGGTTGGTTGTTCGGATATGGGTGACGCGTACGTGGCGTCGTGGGGGCGGGATGTCCTATGTGGGCGTTACAGGTGGTCGTATCAGAGGAGAGCGTTATCTCTGTGCGGCGCAGGGAATGTGGTCGGTTGGTTGTGTGGCCAATTTCAACTGCTGTACACAGTGTGCGTGCAGGGGCAAGCCGGGGGTAAGTTACGGTCAAATGAAACGTATATAGGAGGAGGTCGTGTGCACTTCAATGCATACTTGCATACCAGAGTGACAATGTGTTACAATGGGTGAATTGAAGGCCCTGCTTGCTACCGCACATCCGGATGACGTGTTCTGCTTCCACGAGATTAATTTTCTTCCCAGCCGGCTGCCGAAGTCGTACATTCCGGATAAGCGCAATGTGGTGGAGCGTATCGTCAGCGTCGGCATCCTCTACAACATGACGGGGAGTTGTTCCGCAGTGCCTCTGGTGGTGCTAGAGCCATCCAATAGGCTCGAGCGCCGGCGGGCGAGCGCCGCATCGTGCAAGGTGGCCGTTCGGTATACGAACCGCGGGCGGTTGACGCCGGAGGTATGGATTGTTGACTTTGTGTGCATTTTTATGGTTGGATGTGCATAGCACGTGTGAGTACATACGGAGCGCGTCCATCTCCGATGTATTTGCGTACCGCAATGGCCGTTGGTGACGTGCTCGCTATGTTTGATTCACTGCACACAGGTATTCACGGTGTGCACTTCAGCCGTGATCGCAACACCATCATCCTCACCATTCACAAGGCGCATCGCATCACAGGCGAGGTGGCGCCGCCCGTCACGGAGCACGGCTTCAGTGTGCAGCACCTCACGAACACGCGAGTCGTCAACATTCGTGGATCGGTTCCGGAGACGGGCCTGCCGCACCTGCAGGGAGTGGGTGACGCGCTGAAGGCGTATTACCACGTTATGCTGATGAGGCGTGCGATAGGGTCCAAGCGGTTCCAGTTCGACTATTCGGCTTCCATCGCTGATGTCGACTATAACGACATACTCGAGTGGCTGGGAGAAGCGTGGACTCGTGTGTGCGCGGCTACCATGCAGCTCTGCTGGTGGCGCGCAGGATGCGTGCCGGCGAGCTGGCCGCCCCTGATGGCGTACCTGGGTGACACGTGCGCAACCGGCATGTTCGAGCCTATTATTTCGGTATGCGTCGATTTGCAGTTGCTTATCGAGAAGTTCAAGGTAAGGCCTGCGTGCTACATGACGGCCACGGATTTTATCAACTGCGACGCGGGACTATGCGTGGAGCAGGGGTTCAGAGCCACACCTGCTGCCAGCGCGTCCGATGACTCGTCGGGCGACATGAGCCTGCCAGACGGCCCATTGCTGCGGGACGAGCGCAGCAGGAGGCGCATGATACGCAACGTCACAAACGCGTACGTGGAGCGTGCCGATGAGCTCGGCATCCCCCCGGCGGCTGTGCCTGCAGAGGTCGGAGCATCGAACCAGGAGGTGATTTCCCGCCTATGCAGGACGCCTATCAAGAGGGCTCGCGCAGGGGGGCGAGCTGAGAACGGGACAGCCGAAGAAGTGCTGAAGAGTGATGAAGTGCTGGAGAGTGATGACGACCAGTGATGCGTCTGGTAGTAGTGGGGTTTGGTTGTGGGAGTTGACTGTGTGCGGTATCGTACGTAGGGGGGACGCATTGTTGATGTTGGTGTTGTGGTTGTTATTGTGTGTGCAATGTTATTTTGAGTTGGTGGAATAGTTTTGGCTAATGTGGATATGAGCACCCTAACAGTGCACACACATGTTGTATTGTGACGGAAACAACGAAGCAGCATACTTATGTCACGGATTTTGGTTCGAACGAAATGGGAGCCGCGAATGCGACTCGAGATGTAGGTGTGCGCTTCGAGTTTCCTACATGTTTGTGGAAAAGTTACCGCCAAGTCACCTTTGTGTGTACGATGACGCTGTGCGTTTCTGATGTGCAAAAGGTTGCGATTCGGGTGCGGTGTTTTTATGCAGCTTTCCGCAACTTTCTCGCAAGGCCAACGCAGAAAAACCTTCGGGGGCCAAAAATCGCAGCTTTCCTTTTTTGCGATGATAGGATGAAAGGACGAAAGGACGAGCGGATGAGAGGACGAAAGGAAGAGAGGAAGAGAGAGCGATATGACGAGAGGAAGATGGGACGAATGGTCAAAATGACGAAGAATGCATGAGAGGACGAGAGGTCGAGTGCTGATTCCCTTTCTAAACGTAAGCAGAGAATTCGCAATTCTGCGAGCACATAAGGTGTCGAACCTTGCTATGGAACTGCGCAGGGAGCTTACTGCAAACAATAAGAAATTCATCACCTCTTCTAACCTTTAAACATCTTAGTAAGGTTCCTGTCTAACCTTTAAACATCTTAATCCCCAAGAACGTGCTACGATGTCACTGCCCATACATATCATCGCGTGCATCACCATCCCATCGTGGGGCATCACCATCCCATCGTGGTGCATCACCATCCCATCGTGGTGCATCACCATCCCATCGTGGTGCATCACCATCCGCCACCTCTCCCACCCAAAGCTTTCATTCTCAGCCGCCCAATTCGTTTCCAACATTACTGTCCTTGTTGGCAGTTAGCCTTGTGACGACGTTTTCAGACCAAGCAGCAGCCGGAACTCTCAGCCTGCTAATTCAAAGAAAGTAAGCAACAGTTCGGCAGTGCTCGTCTCTTTCCTTCTCTCCTACATCTCGATTACCGGCAGTCAGACAATTCTGCAGTTGACTAGCTGTCTTGACTCTGTCCGCATACGTGTTCTTCATCAACTCCGTTGCTTTCCTAAAACTCTGTGTTGATACCATCTCACCCTCCCTCCCTCTGCCCTTTTCCACAGTGCCACAAGATACAGCCTTCGGTACACTCTCTTGCTTACCGGGCCAGCCACCGCACCCAAACGAATCGCCTTATATCAGAGACAACACCAGCAGCCCGTCATCACGGTCCCCCTTCCCCACCTCGCCTGCGCACAGCCCGCGCGATCCGTGTGGCACTGCTCTGGCGCACCCGCCTCGCCTCCCCTCCCCGCTGCTCCCCTTGCCGCCCTCCTTGCTGCTGCTTCTACTGGCACTGCCGGCGGTGCCACTGCCGGAGGTAACACCGCGAGTGAGACCCCTGCGAGCGGTACCAGCGGCATTGGTTTCTCTGCTGCGGTGGTGGCCGCTGGGAGCAGCAGCATTGGCGCGTTATCTCGAGCCAAGGCGTTCTACGCTGGTGAGCTGGTGTGCAGAGTGGTGGTAGCGGGTGGTGAGGGGTGGAGAGTGGTGGTAACCGGTGGCGAGGTGGAGAGAGTGTGGAGGTAGGGTGTGGTGGGTTTGAGTAGGGAGGGAATAAGGATGGAAAATCAAGTAATGAACTAAAGGAAGGTCATGTCCTTCCATGCCGCACTTCAGTCCTGCACCGGGCTACAACTCTCTGCACCCCTCAACACCCCTGCATACCTCCTCTCAATCGCTGCAGTCAGTCCCTTGCTCCGCCCCACCGTGGCAGCATCTGTGAAGAGGCTACAACTGAGCTCGCTAAAGTTCTCACCTCCCCATCCTCCTGCCTCTCCCTCTCCCCTCGCTTTCTAACCCCACGCCCCTCACCACGCCGCTGCTCACCACGCCGCTGCTCACCACGCCGCTGCTCACCACGCCGCTGCTCACCACGCCGCTGCTCACCACGCCGCTGCTCACCACGCCGCTGCTCACCACGCCGCTGCTCACCACGCCGCTGCTCACCACGCCGCTGCTCACCACGCCGCTGCTCACCACGCCGCTGCTCACCACGCCGCTGCTCACCACGCCGCTGCTCACCACGCCGCTGCTCACCACGCCACCCCTCAGCAGCATTCCACCCCTCAGCATTCCACCCCTCAGCATTCCACCCCTCAGCATTCCACCCCTCCACACGCCACCCTGTGCGCATCTGCCTTTTTCTCTCCCCTCCAGAACCCCCCTCTCTGCGTGTGCCCCCTCTCCGCGTGTGCCCCCTTTCATCGACCTCTATGACGGCTTCTACACATAGAGGCCAAGAGGCACACTGGTGTCCACTTGTGAGGACTCTCACAACCGCCTTCTCTTTGCCCTCCCGTGCACCCCTGCAGTCCCCTCGGCACTCACGCCTGTGCTCTACCCCACTGCGGCCGCCCAGCTGGGCGGAGCAGCCAAGGGAGGCGTCACCGTCTCTGTCTCCTCCACGTGAGTGCGTGTGTCATTTGAGTACACATGAGTGCACATGAGTGCACATGAGTGCGCATTATCTTAGCAGCAACACCCCTCGAACCCGCTTGGTCATCTCTTGCTACCAAGTTCAAGATCTCCTGAATTCTTACCTGCCTCTTCCCGGATTCGTACCACTACCCTTACCACTGTGTTGATCGCCAACCCCTCCCAACCTATCTGTATTCCTCCCCCCTGTCCTCCCCTTCGCAGCAACACTCTCGCCAAGATCAAACCCCTTAATCGTAGTCAACCCTACTCAACCCCTCCGGTTGGTCAAGGTCTCCCTCTCACCCCCCTCCTCCTCCTCCTCCTCTCCCTCCATCCCCTCCACCTCCTCCTCTTCCTCTTCCTCCCCCACGTCCTCCACCTCCTCCACCTCCCCTCTCTCCCTCGCCTGCACGTGGGTCGCCCCCCTCCCCTCGGTGTGAGGCACAGCCATGGCTGTTCAGGTCTCCCCAGCAGCCAAGGCGGTAGCGGTGCTGCCAGCACTGCCGACAGGGGCGAGGAGTGCATGTGTGGTTGGAGTGAGTGTGGGAGGAGGGGTCGCTGCGACCCAAGTGGCACAGGGGGCGTTGGTGCGAGTGGTGGAGCACGTGCGGTGACACAGTGGTGCGCTGCGGCCTGGCTCTGGATTGTTGTGAGCTACTAGGACTGCTTCCAACAAGCATTTCGTACGGCCCTGCTGGATCCTGTTGGGACCTGGTGCATGCCTTCAAGCATATGGAAGCTGAAGCTAATACTTTTTTTTTAACTCTGTGTAGGCAATGTGTGTGCATTGTGCATGGACTGACTTAGCGATAAATAAATGCTGATATGCAGGACTCGGGTATTTCATCTCATTGCAAAAATGACAACATGCATCTCGGTGGGGTTGCAAGTGGGAAGAAGCAGCAACAGTGGGGTTATCGTCATTGTTGACCATCTCCAAAATCTGATGCGTTGGATCTGAGACTACATAGAAAACCATACATCTATCTTGGCTGATTCTCCTCTCGCCACGCCGGAGAGGAGCCTCTCTGAGCGTCCGCAGAGGATGGGACGAGTGTTGCCATGGCTTCCAAGACTACACCCGCCCCAGACAGCGGCCCGCCTACTCTCGCCATGCGTCAGCACATGACCGCAGTATCTCGCGAGGACGGTCCCTGCAACACCAACGGTGCCTGTCAGTTTCGCACGGTTGGGAGAGACTTTTCAGTAGCTCCTGGTTTCTGGGACTTGGGCTTGCAGATTGGACGTTCGAGGCGCAGCCCTCCACTAGATATTCCTTCCCCTATGCCTAGGGGGTTTTGGCATTCGTCGCATGGAGCGCATTGCCCCCATGGGTTTTGCGTGCTCCTAGGTACATTGTACACCCATCCTTTGCTCCCTCCCGGCGTGCGGCAAGACTTTTCGACAAAGTTTTGCATCGGAAGATGTTGACCAGATTGATCGGTCTCTGCGGACGGTGCTAGAGGGCCTCCCACCTGACATTTTCTCTCTCTTCCTCCCCTGGCCCTCTTGTGTCTCTGCTGCCCCCGATTCCCTATTCATAGGAGTGAGCCGTGTTCTGGAGGAGCATGCCTTAGAGTCAGTGCATGCCCGTCACACTGATCCCTTGCACCTTGCCTGTTTGAAATCCCTTCAGGGCGTAGGTGCAGGTGCGTGGCTGACGACGGTGCCGTACGTAGACTCTCTGCGCATACCGGAGGCGCTGTGGCAGGTGGCTTTATCTTTCCGTCTTGGTCTCCCTAACCCCCAGATAGCCCTTGCATGTCGGTGTTCTTGCGGACAGGCAATCAACGACAAGATGGTACCTCACCACATGGTGTGGTGTCCCCTTTTCGACGTCACCACGGTCATCCACGACACTGCGAAGTACATGCTTTGAGACTTTGCTGTCGAGGCAGGCTTCGCGGTGAAGGTGGGAGACACCACACTGATCCTGCACCTAGAGGAAGCTTGAGTGCAACTACAAGAACTTCGGACGGACAGACACAGGCTGGGGGACTGTCGGGGCAGGTCGGCGGGGCAAGACAGCTGGTTCTAGAGCCTCGGTACCTTCTAGTAGCACCCGTGTTACCTCCCTTCTATCGTGTCTGTACCCATGTTCATTATTGAATATCGAAGTGAAGTCTCGATCCTCTCACACTTGGTAATTAGAGCCTACTTAGACTTCCACTTTTAGTTCGCTTCTTCTCATTCTCTAAAAACCACCGGGGCGACGACAACCATGCCAATTCTGGTACGTAAAAATCAGTTCCGCGTTTTGTTTTAACCCCCCTCGCTGTCAAACTATATATGTGTCAGTTGTCTAGGGTGTAGTGGGGCAGCCCATATAGGGTACAACACTTTAGGGTTCACACATATCCTTGCTTGTACCCCCACTTTCTAGCCATTCCTGTTTTCCTATCTTAACATGGTATTAGAGTAGGATCGTTCCTAGGGACCACCGAACGTTCCGTCGCTTCTGCCCTGCCCTGCCCGTCAACTTTTTTTTTCCTGCCCTGCCCAGCGCCAACGCGCGCCCTGCTGCCCCTTGCCCGCGCGTGCCCCGCTGCCCAGCGCCCGCGCGTGCCCCGCTGCCCCTTACCCGCTGCCCAGCGCCCGCACGCGCCCTGCTGCCCAGTGCCCTGCGTGCCCCGCCGCCCTGTGCCCTGCCCGCACGCCGCCCTGCTGCACGCTACCCTGCTACGTGCCGCCCTGCCGCGCGCTGACCCTGCTGCGCGCTGACCTTGCTGCGCGCCTGTCAAATGTTATCTTAGCATGTTGGGCTACAGTGAGTAGCAGTGAGTACAACATTTGCTAGGGTTCCTATTTGTATTGCTTCACAACCCTAATCAATCCATTCCGTTGCTAGCTACTCTTAACATGGTATCACGAGTAGGTTCGTTCTCAACCGCTCCTAGCCCGCACCTAGCCCGTTCCTAGCCCGCCCCACGTTCCCTCCTATCGATCGCGCCTAGCCTAGCGCGCGCCCGCGCCTCCGCGCCTCCGCGCCCTCCGAGCCTCCGCGCCTAGCCTGCGCCCTCCGCGCCTAGCACGCGCCTCCGCGCCCTACGCGCCTTAGCGCCCAGCCCGCGACCTCCGCGCCTAGCCCGCGCCTCCGCGCCCTCACCTCGCGCCCTCGCCTAGCGCACGCCCGCGCCCAACCCGCCCCCTAGCAGCAGCCGTAGCGCGCGCCTCTTCACCAACAAGTGCGCGCCACAGCCTGTAGTGCGCGCCCCAGCCCATAGCGCGCACTACTGTCCACCAGGGCCTGGAGGCGTCGCCCGTTGCAGATCACCTCGAGTACTAGTGGTTGTTGCCGCTCCGAGTAGCTGTAGATGGTGTTGCTTCTAGGATCATAGGATAGATCAAATGTATCATCCCTTGGTCCTGCGCTCGAAGCTGCTGTCTCAATATCAGGTATCACCTGAGTAAGGTTAGAAGGATTTATCCGAGGCTGGTACAGCTTCTCCTGAGCCTGGAACCTTCCCCTAAACCTTTGCAGCTATGTAGGCTTCATCTGTGGGGAACAGGGAGCCTTTAAAGAGTGCTGCTGGGAGAGAATATTAACTCCTCGGAACGCTCGACCCTTATTAGTGCTCCGGAGTAGGGTCCCCATATTACCCGGTACCGGTTTAATTCCTGACTCTCCCGTAATAAAGGCTTGAAACCCACGATAAGTAATATTCTTACTTGTCGGGGTTTACGGCTGGAGTTTCCCAGTCGGTGCAGGATCTTGTTTCCCGGATCCTCCTTTAGTCTCCGCGATTTCCCCTGGTGACGGCTGGTCGTGACGTTTTAAATTCACGCCATCATATTCTCCTTTTTTCGCCCTCTCCGAAGTTGCCACGTTGTCCGTTTTCTGCTTCGGGGGTGCCACACTGTTCTTGTCCCCCAGCTCCGCACGCCTTCTATTCATTTTCTAACACGCCAAGATACAATGTCCTGTGGCGCCGCAAAATTTGCACGTCTCATTTTTTGCTAGCCGCTGCTCCACATCGCCCTCGTCGTTCTCCATCGGGTTGGCAGTCGTGGGTCGTGCCATTCGCCCCATGCCACTAGTTGGCTTGTTGCGTCGTGTTCCGTAGTAGCTACTGTTCAACGTGTCGAACTGCTCGATCAGTGCTGTCCGAAACTGCGCCCACGCCCCTTCGCCTTGGACTATACTGTTGTTGATCCACTATAGAGCTGGGCCTTGTAACAGTGTTGCTGCGAGCCGTATGCGCATTGCGTCTTCTGTCGGGTTCGTGCATCCAACGGCTTCGAAGTAAATTTCGAGTTCAGCTACAAATCGACGAACGTCATTCCCTTTAACTATAAGATCGATTGCCTCCGGTAGTCTCAGCTTCACTACTTCGAGGTTAACTGTAGCTGCTGTCGTTGTCGCAGGTAGAATTGTCGGTGTCGCCGCTGCTGCTGCTGCTGCTGTCGCTGCTGCTGTGGCGGTTGCCGACTGGTTCGTAAGGAGTTTCTCGAGTCGTGGGAGCGCCGCACGTATCTGCTGATGCTCGGCACGTAACTCCGCGATTTTCTGTACTGGAATGTCTCCTTTTCCCTCCATTTGGCGATTTACAGGAAGATGCGCGACGAAAATGATCGAATTCTAGGTGCTGGTCGACTTACTGCGAGTCGAGTTGACTGTAGAATCGACGAGTGCGAATTCTGTAGGTCGCGTAAATCTCTGTTTTTTGAAAATCGCGTTCGATCTCGGCCGTTTAGGAGAAACTCAATCTGACGCTCCAAATTCCAACTTGTTTTGGGCGAAATTCTCTGGGTCGTTGAGATGAAACTCGATCGAACGGTCGAAACTCCAACCTTTCCACCAGTAAATCTGAGGGGTGTTCGAAAACTGAATCGAGGGGCACTTAGAAAAATTGCGCGGAACTGGTTTTACATACCCGTATCGGCGCTTTCGTCGTCGCCCCCGCGATTTTTAATGGCCGGAACTAAGCGGTTGAAGACCTCGCGTGTAAACACGCTCTGTTTAACCAAGTGTGAGGATCTGGTTCAGGAAAGATGATTCTATTGAATGATACACCTGGGTACAAGACGAGGCTTTACATAGGCTCGACACAAGGCCAGTTACCCAGGTGTTACGCGAATGTTCTGAGGGTCGCGAAGCGTCCCGAACAGAACCTTCCCGAACTCAGTAGAAGCAATTCAGTGGAAACCGAATGGGCTTGAGTCGGTACACGTAACCTGGTTTGGTGCTATAACTATAATAACAAATAGGAATGCACCTAACCTAGGAAATCAAGCATATCTATGCATGATAAATAAAACCTAAGCTAGTAATAGCATAATAAAATCCAGGCAAGCTAGCAAAGCCAGCATAAGCCGTCGTACTCTCACACCCTGGCCAGAACGCGCACACCCCTTAGGCCCGAGCGCGCGAACAGGCCAGCAGCGCGCGCCTCAGCCTCCCTTGACCGCCCACAGCCAATTCTAGCCGCCCACAACCAACTATTCCTGCCCATTTTATACTCCTTCAGCCCTCCGTCCGCCTTGCAACCTGCCTTGCCATTGCGACCACAGGCCGCCGCTCACGCTCCTAGCCACTGGCACCTCTAGCAGCCGCAGTCACGTTTCCTGGCGTAGTTTCGTTTTTTTTTTTTGTGCCCCGACTGGCAGTCCCAGC